AGTCGTTTTAGCTCGACTGGTTTGGGGGGGGGGATTACTTATATGACGTATTTAGTCAAGTATTTTCTGCCTTATAAGAACATTGAGCTTTTGTCAGGAGAGCGCACAGTATAGCGGAGATTGGGTAAGAGTCTCACATGTGCTAGACATATTGCAGTGTAATGGTGCGTGTGAGTAAGGTTGAGAGAGAGAGAGAGAGAGAGAGAGAGAGAGAGAGAGAGAGAGGTTTTCATCTATGCATCTCTGGGAAAAGACTAGTGCTTTAGGAGGAATGGCAAAGAAGAGGAGGGCTAATCAGATACAGTGCTGCCTTTGGCTGCCCAGTCCCACAGAAGCTCTTCATCCTCTCATGAGGACAAACAGTACCTATCATATTGGCTATAGTACATCTGATTATATAAAGTTGACATCAAACACATTCTCATCTTCAACAATAACTAAGAAACCTATTCTGACAGACATATAATCTCATAGAACATCGGATTATCAACAACAATCTATTTATCCTCTACCAAGGATTTTTTATTTTGTTTATTTTTTATTTAACCTTCATTTAACCAGGTAAACCAGTTGAGAACAAGTTCTCATTTACAACTGCGACCTGGCCAAGATAAAGCAAAGCAGTGCGATAAAAACAAAAACAACACAGAGTTACATATGGGATAAACAAAAAAACGTACAGTCAAAAACACAATATAAAAATCTATATACAGTGTGTGCAAATGTAGTAAGTTATGGAGGAAGGCAATAAATAGGCCATAGTGCAAAAATAATTACAATTTAGTATTAACACTGGAGTGATAGATGTGCAAAAGATGATGTTCAAATAGAGATACTGGGGTGCAAATGAGCAAAATAAATAACAATATGGGGATGAGGTAGTTGGGTGGGCTAATTACAGATGGGCTGTGTACAGGTGCAGTGATCGGTAAGCTGCTCTGACAACTGATGCTTAAAGTTAGTGAGGGAGATAAGAGTCTCCAGCTTCAGAGATTTTTGCAGTTCGTTCCAGTCATTGGCAGCAGAGAACTGGAAGGAATGGCGGCCAAAGGAGGTGTTGGCTTTGGGGATGACCAGTGAGATATACCTGCTGGAGCGCATACTACGGGTGGGTGTTGCTATGGTGACCAATGAGCTAAGATAAGGCGGGGATTTGCCTAGCAGTAATTTATAGATGACCTGGAGCCAGTGGGTTTGGCGACTAATATGTAGTGAGGGCCAGCCTACGAGAGCATACGATCACAATGGTGGGTAGTATATGGGGCTTTGGTGACAAAACGGATGGCACTGTGATAGACTACATCCAATTTGCTGAGTAGAGTGTTGGAGGCTATTTTGTAAATTACTTCGCCAAAGTCAAGGATCGGTAGGATAGTCAGTTTTATGATGGCATGTTTGGCAGCATGAGTGAAGGAGGCTTTGTTGCGAAATAGGAAGCCGATTCTAGATTTAACTTTGGATTGGAGATGCTTAATGTGAGTCTGGAAGGAGAGTTTACGGTCTAACCGCAAATCTGAATATTGAGAGCTGCTAGAAAACGAATTATCAACAACACCTGTACACCCTATTACAAGAGAACAAGGGAGAGATGTCCAGTGATCAGACTAGTGACGGATCAGACTGATTGCTTCCTGTGTGGGTGTCAATCACCATCAGATGAGGCTGCCAATGAGACATCATCATAGGGGTTACCTATTACCTGTTCACTAATGAACTTCAACTCAGAGGGTCCTGGAAGGATACAGGCCATCTCCAAACCATGTCCTAACAATGAACTCATGTAACACTGCCACCAACACCCCAAAGGGGTCACATAGGTATGAGTTGTGTCTCTGCAGACTGACCGGACCAAGGTCAACTACCGCTATATAACATGTACTAATGGGGTACAGGATTCGATAGGATGCTCATTGCTCATAACAGAACATACTTAGAGTTAACAATGCAACATTTCTAGAGTAAGAAGAGAACCTGTCACCCTGGGAGAGACAGTTGTCATCTCCCAGGGCAGGTGAAGTCAGTGGGATAACTTTCAGTCAGATACTAGCATGCCTGCCTCTGCTCCATGTAACGTGAGAACACCTACAGCAATGTTATTTACAAGAACACACTGTACTGCAGGGTCCCCCAACAGGTAGCCCTCAATGTAATTTTTATCTAGTGGATGATCCCTGCTGTACTGCATCCTTCCCTTTTGAAATATGACCTTTAAACCACCTCCAGAAGGTGTTTGATGTGTCTGAATGAACTTTACCCACATTCTTCAATTATGAAAAGTTTAATGTTTCCACAGTAATACAAGACTTCTCTGCACTTACATAAGAGAAAATAAAGTGTCTGAAATGAAAGCTATGAGGGAGAGGGATTCATAGGATGTGAATCGCAGTGTTGGCAGACTTCTCTGTGCAGGCATAAAAAAACAGACAGGTCCTACATTAACAGCAGCCACATAAATCTGCAAAAACACAAGAAGATTTGTTTGATCATAATGTACAATTTTTCCAGGGTAAGCCTTTTGATGCTGGGGCTCATAACTCCTGTATTGTGTGTGTGTGTGTGGTTTTGTTTTGTATGTGGAGGGTGATTGTTCTTAGTTCCCTCTGATAAGGGATGTATGTGCGTATATGGGTGTACAGACCTGCAACTGTGATAGAATTAAAAGTGCCTTAATAATAAGAAAAGAATAATAAAGAATCATAATGTGTACCAGTAAGTAGTATGATGTTAATTTATCTAAATGCTGATTATACGATCTGTTTGCTCTATTGATGTCTGATCTGAGTTTGATTGGTTATACCTAGGAATTCCTATAGGGGCACACCTCACCCATTTATTTATATATTTCCTCCTTTCAGGTATAATTGCGATTTCGAATGTATTTGTTCATGTCAGAATGTTACAGATGTTACTGTGTGTTATTTAGTCAGCAGCAAAGATGTTTAAACCATTACATGTGTTATTTGTATGTTTAGACCACTTCGAAATTAGCCGTTTTGCTAGTTAGCTTGCTTGAAGGCTGCTCACTTTCACGAGGTGACTTCGTGATCAGAGCGTGCCCGAGAGAGACCGCGCGCACAGCTGCTGTGTGTGTGGGTGAATAGCAACGATGGAAAACTTTTGGGAAATGTGAACGTTGTTGTAATCTAAAGCACTACAGACGAATTAATACAAGGTTATACATGTTTGTGTTATTAGGATGAGTTTGCATACTGATAGGAATTAATACATACAGTATGAAATAAATATAGGAACAGTATATACCAGGATAATTAATGCTGATAATAAATAGTGGGATACGTGATGCGTTTAAAAAGGTTAAAAGGTTTGTCATTGCATTTCATAGTGTCAATTTAAAGAGGGATAATAAAGGATTCATTTTGCCATTGTCATGTATAAATGAGACAATACTGGGTTATTGAACAATTGTAACAGCTATGTATTTTGTGTGAATATATTTTGTGCATTTGTGAAACATTATATTTTGTACCTATGTAAATGGTTGATGATTTTATATGAAAGACTCATTACAAGTGACTTGAAGCCTAACCTACATCTCCTTGTGATTGATTTCTATATTTCCCCCTTTCGGGGGTCACCTTTACATTTTTGTCACAAATACACTTTTAATTTCATGCATCTAGAAATAAAATGGTACTTAAATATAGGTATACAGACACTTTCTCTAAACATAGACGTGTGCGTTACTGAAAGGACTGTGCTGCATATTTATAAAACATGAATGTATAGAGAGCTGCTGTGTGCTGATTTACATTTACATTTTTAGTCATTTAGCAGACGCTCTTATACTGGCCACCCGTGTGAATCGAACCCACAACCCTGGCGTTGCAAGCGCCATGCTCTACCAACTGAGCTACAGGAGGCGTGTGCCACTGTACCCCCATTGTCCTAACAGCAGCACAACAGCTTCACAGCACCCTCTGGTGGTTATTCAGAATGGACATAAAAGGTTGAATTGGAGATTCAGTAAAATAAAAATATTGTTTTATTTAACAGAAAATGGAAGACAAAACATTCAGGCATTGTTAATTTTTTGCCCTTTTGCCCCTTTTTTGCCCAATTGCATGCTCCCTCAAAACTTGAGACATCTGTGGCATTGTGTTATGTGACAAAACTGCTCATTTGAGTGGCCTTTTACTGTCCCCAGCACAAGGTGCACCTGTGTAATGATCTGCTGTTCTTCTTGATACATTTGAGAGAAAAAATATTTGTGTGTATGGAACATTTCTGGGATCTTTATTTCAGCTCATGACACATGGGACCAACACTTTAAATGTTGCATTTATATTTTTGTTCAGTATAATATGACCCCACTATAGAAAGAGGAGACTCTCACGAACACAATATTTTTCTCCGTTTTGCTGTATGACCCCCACAAGTGTCATGGGACTCATCTGAAGGTAAACATATACAAATGAATGGAAGTATGGAGGTAGTTTTTTGGCCAAAAAAATAAGGAGTTAAATATGTGTCCAAAAAAACTACAATATTTCCTGAGCTTTCTTATATATCCTAGATATAGGACAGACACTTCAAAACCTTATGATACATTTTTTGACTGTCCTTTTTGCCAATGCGTTTCTATGGGCTATAGTAGTAAAGGCCAAATTCAATATTTTATCAAATAATTTTTAGGGATACCTAAAGGTAAATAAAATAGCTAACTGATCCATGGTACGACCATACTAAAACAAGTCCATATGTGAGCCCCCCCCCCCCCTTACACTTTTGTACTATTACGTGGGGGACTTTTATTTTGTTAATGTCCGAAATTCCATAACCCGGAAGTACCGTTTTAGTGTTGCTGACGACACGCTGATTAAGCGGACCCTCTAACCAAACAATGTATAAGCCCCTTAATTGTTGTGGATTTCATCGACCTTTGGACCGCTGCATCGTAGCCTACCGTCTATGTCGCTGTTATTAACCGGTTAAGTAACTGACCTTTGAGAAAAATCTTGCCGCCTTTATGAAGGTGAATAATGCATAGGCCTACAGTTCACCGCTATGGGTTTCTAGTTGCTCTAACTTTGTGAGCAGTGCTGCACGGACTTTGTACTTTCCTGCACGAGTAAACGTGTCTGCTCGCACATGAATCAAGTAGCCACACGAAGCGGTAACCAATGTCAAAATGTCTCTGACAGCTGTCATTATCGAATAACTCAGTGTAAGTAAATTTGGAGACGAAGTTTGAAGGGAATGTGACTCGTAGCCAATTTGTTCTGTCGCTAACCAGTTTTCATAAATTGAAGGTAGGACAAATGGAATGTCAATCCCACCATCTTTAGCAATGTTCGGTTGTTTCTGTCATGTCTTTGTACAGGTCTTCGTTCACCATGGTTGGGACTTTCCCGCTTCTAGCAGTGCAGCCCACGCGGGGGCTCGTGGATGAGAAGATCCAGGTGGTTGTGAGGAATTTACCTCCGGCGCTCTCGGTGACACTACGTTCCCTTCATCGCTCCGAGGATAAGGACTTTTGGGAGGCGTTCGGCCATTACACCAGCGACGACCAAGGCACGGTGACGGGTAAGGTTTGTGACGGCCGACCGGGCTGACAGACCGGGTTCTTCGATGTAGCCTTGGACTAATTTATGTGTGAAACCCATATATACTGTAGAATTCAATTACACTGGTCGCCAATAAGATCAGTGTCCCTGCGTGCTGAAACCTCAGATGTTGGCCAATGTTTTTGCCTGCTATTACTATGAAGTTAGTACAATATCACACTGTACAACACAGCAAAACTTGAGTAAATTATACTACAATAACGTTATTAAAACAACTATGGTTGTTGTAAAGGTCATGCAGTGGATATATAGTCGCAAGTAGGATAATCTTTATAATGCAACACACTTTGAAAGGCGTGACCAACGTTGGTCAACATCTTGACAAAAGTCATCCACTCTAACATGCCCAAGCATATGAATGCCAAGTTCAAAACAACTGGGAAATTGGAAATCTTCGAGTTCAGTGTGTTCAAGACAACCGGGATGAGCTCGACTAGGACAAAATTAGTTTTAAACGGTCATCTAACTCGGAATTCCAAGTCGGGAACTCAGCCTCTTTCTAGAGCTCAGACTTTCCTACCAGAAGATCACTGACATCATTATTTGACCTCGTTTTTTCAGAGTTCCCAGTTGTTTTGAAAGCACCATTCAGTGCGTTCATGACAACTGGGAACTCTGAAAAATGAGCTCCGACTAGGAAAAATCGTTTTGAATGGTCATCCAACTGCGAAGTCCAAATTGGGAACTCAAGCCTCTTTCTCTTTCTGCTATTTTTATTGTTGTTTATGTAGTTGCTAAGGATGCCAGTCTTGGAGGAACATATGAAGGCACAGAGCCCATGGGTCTACTGTGGAGCATGCAGCCTGTGCCAGGCAGTCGGACAGGCCTCAGGTAACACACCTATGGAATTAAATATTTGTGGTCAATTTTATATAGGAAAAACACATAATTTAGTGTGACCAGGCCCGGCTGGTCAAGTCAAATAAACTCTCTGTCTCTCAGGTTGAGAAAGATGGATGTCCTCACTCCTATGGTGGTGCACATCTCTGTGTACAGTGGGCACATGACAGAGGGCTTCAGCAAGCAGTCTCCCCTAGTGACCGTTGTCACAGAACGATGGTACATGGCACCAGGTGTGTGCAGAATTGACATCAGGGAACACGGGGTCCGAGGGACCCTCTTTTTACCCCCAGGTCCTGGACCCTTCCCTGGGGTGTTGGATATGTGGGGAGGGGGTGGGGGGCTGGTGGAGTACCGCTCCGGCCTCCTGGCGTCACATGGTTTTGTTTCCATGGCGCTAGAGTACCTTTTCCATGACAAGCACAGAACTTCAGACATCGACTCAAAAACCTACTTTGAGGTGATTCTAATACTGTATATGTGCCCGTGCAACCTGCATGTGTGTGTGTGTGTGCCTACATGCTTGTGCATATCTTAATATTCAGAGAGGGCAGAGTCCACTCCTGTGACCTTTTATTCAGACTCACTGTTAAAATACATCACCTCAAGGTATATTACCTCACATTGCATCCACTTGAATTTGTAGAAAGCGTTCAGGATTGTGCAGGAGCACCCCCTAGTGTTGAAGGACAGAGTTGCTCTGTTTGGTCTCTGCTTAGGCACATCAGTCACCCTCAACATGGCAGCCTACTCCAAAGCCATCAGCGTGAGTCTCTCCCTCACACTCTCCTCTTTTTCCTCCAGATTGGAGCTTTGTATGTATAGTGTGAATTCAGATTCAGAAAGCTTTATTGTCCCAACACTGACCATGTGTATAAGCTTATGAGCTTGTTTAGTGTGTAAACAATAAATATTGTGTGTATTCCAGCCCAGATGCTGTGTGTGTGTCAGTGGGAGTCACGTCCAACAGGTCAACAAGTCCATCCACGAAGTGTTTACGAAGATGAATGAGTGAGTGACAACCATCATGTGTGAATGAAAAATAAACACAAATCTGTTCAAAGTGAAGCTGTAAAGTACCGTGATTATGAAACTTGTGACATACAGACCAAATTAAGAAATATAGACTAAAAACATGATCATTATTTTATTGCAAGGGACAGATCTAAGACCCGATTTGATGAAGAGGGCTGTGTGATCTCGAGAGACATCATTCTGCCTATCCCAACCGACCCTGGAGAGAAAGTGGATGTAAGTCAACACACACAAACACACACAGTGGGTTTGTTTACTCATTGCTGAGTCTTCTGACAGATGGGGAGGATAAAGTGTCCATTGATGTTGGTCGTCGGGGAGGATGATCAGAACTGGGCGACAGTAGAATCTGCCAAGGACGTGAGTACACACACAAACACGATTAAAAGCTTATGAAATCAATCATTGTCATTGACGCTGAATGTGACCTCTGACCTGCAGATGTCCCAGATGATGCGTGCAGCGGGTAACGAGCACCTACTGACCATTCTACAATACCCTGATGCTGGACACCTCATTGAGCCGCCCTACACACCCCACTTGAGAGCCAGCAACTTCATAGTGCCTCAAATACAACAGAAAGGTACTGTACACACAGCTCACACCTATAGTATACACACTTGAACTAAGATATATGTATAACCAATTCTTTACTCGCAAAGTAACTAATGATTGTGTGTGTGTTCCAGTGATCATGTTATGGGGAGGGTACCCAAAGCCGCACGCCGATGCTCAAGAAGACTCCTGGGAAAAGAGCCTTGGCTTTCTACGGCAACACCTGTACCCCAATCATGACTCTGTCGCTAAGGCCAAGCTGTGATGTCACACCCGAGGAGCCTCCAGGACCTAGTATAATTGACTAAGCTATAACTTTATATACTATTTTATATGTTCATTTATTTAATTTGTGACAAGACTGAATGCTTGAATGAGAAAGTCGTCAGACCAGTGGACACAGCTGTAGAATATAAATTGAGGGCTGATGACCTGTAAGTCGCTTTGGATAAAAGCGTCTGCTAAATGGCATATTATTATTATTATTATATTATGATGTGTCCACAGTAGTGAGTCTCTCATTCACTGTACTGTATGAGTTTCAACCTGCCAATAGTATTAACACCTGTGCCTCTAACCTAACTGCCATAGTACACAGATGACTGATTCTATTTTTTGATTCATGAGGAAATAATAGGAAATGTATTGTTGATGATGTTTATAATAAATCAGAGGAAGAATATTAACAATATCTGTTGTTATGAAGAGCATGAGAGCTATTTGGTATGTCTCTTGCAGTTCTTCAATATACCACACGAGGGTGATGTATGCACATAGCACATGTGTATTGGTGGGCAATGGATTGGGGCTATATTTCAAATGTCTCAGAGTAGGAGTGTTGATCTAGTATAAGGATCCCCCTGTCCATTTAATCTTATTCATTATGATCTGAAATCCAGAACTGATCCTAGATCAGCACTCCTGCTTTGAGATGTTTCATACATAAGCTGCAGTCTAAACCAGGGTTTCCAAAACTCTGTGCATGTTTTGGTTTTGACCTAGCACTACACAGCTGATTCAAATAACCAACTCATCATCAAGCTTAGATTATTTGAATCAGCTGTGTAGTTTTAGGGCAAAAACTAAAATGTGCACCCAGATGGGGCCCCAACACCGAGTTTGGGAAATCCTGGTCACCCATCTCTCAATCTGTGCCCACCTGCTAAATAAACACTCCACTACAAGCACAGAAAATGGCCCGTGTGTCTGTCCCTCTGTCCGCCAGAGATGGATAATGTGGAGTTCTATGTTTGACATTGTAAAGTATCCAACTCTGGTAAAGTACCCAACTCTCCTTCTGAGGTCAGTCAGAAGAACAGTGAAGTTGATAGTGTAAAACATGGCAGGTACTGTATGTGCAGCTGTGCCTTCCAGAGCTACACATGTCTGTCTGACCTAGAGACCGACTGACATGTTCTTATGATCTCAGTAGCCTAAGCATACGGACCACAACTTTGAGTTGACAACACACCTAGAGCAGTCTATTGACTTTTATCTTGAGATTAAAATTAAAGTCATATACTTAAATGATTTAATCAAAGAAAGGCCTGGCTGAATCTGGTGCTCCAAGGGGGCGCGTTTATCTTCGTTAGCACGCTGCGCTGCATACCCAGCCAGGAGGGTTGGGACTCCGGAGCGAGTGGGGTGCATAGTTGGGGGCTCGCCACGACCTCTGAGAACAGAGTCAGAGACCACTCTTTCACACACAGAGACACACTCACGCACACAACTGCATCAGGACTTGCTGACAACACCCCGAGGAATAATTATCAATGTTTCACACTCGAAAATGTTGATATTACATATCGCATCACTTTTGAGTAAGTATTGTTTTTACATGGAACTGTTTCGTTTTATAGAGTGAATTTCCTAATGCGCAGGTAGCTATTCTCAATGACTTTTGAGGAGTAGCATAAAGCCAAGTATGTATTGTCTGAATAGAAAAAGAAAAACGTGAAGAGTTCCAATAGAGGATTTTATTTTCGGTTGCCAACAAAAGTTTCATTCCAGTGTTACTTTTCACTCTCACTTATCCAGGACCATGGGGACATTTAATGAGGAACACATGTAAGCCATTATTTAAACATTTAAAATGTGTTCAACAGCTTATAGATGTCAGATGTCTCAGTCCACTATGGTTGTTTAAAGATGTTTTGGGCACATTATTTTCCACTAGCTATCGTTTACAGAAGCTGTTTTGTACACTCAATAACTGTTTCCCACAGTCGATGTTGTTCCCGAACATAACAGCCTGTTTTCATAAACAGTCCCCCCACATGGGATCGATTGGAAAGCTAGTCCATGTGATTTCAATTGAATTAACCGAAGAGAAGCCTATCTTGTGACCATTATGTTTTTATACCCAGTGATGAATTAGACTAAAGGGAGACTGTGATCGCAATGGAGAGACACGCCTCTTAAGTCTAAAATAAAAATGTTCATCCAGATTTTTAACTGTGGGATACGATTAGTTCTATAGCATAATAGTTGCATGGGGAGATATATTCCAGACATGTTTTGCGCGCCAGTGCGCCATCATCACCTACACTCACCGCTTTTTCTGTCCCGCAGCCCTCGGGTGGCGCTCCTTTGCGCAGCTGCCGGAGTTTGGGGATGTGTGCACTGAGGGGAGCTGCTACCCCGCCACCGGGGACCTTCTGATCGGCCGCGCACACCAGCTCACCGCCTCATCCACTTGCGGCATTGAGAAGCCTGAGCGCTTTTGCATCGTTGGTCACCTGGAGGTAAGACACCTCACACCTGGGGCACAAATAGGTGCACTACACCTAGACAGGGACGGCCATCAGCATAAGCGAGATAAGCGGTCTTAGGGCCCCCAGCCACTAGGGGCCCCGACATAAGCGGTATTTATGAATTCAGTCGAGGTCTCAACTGTTCAGAGTTTGAATAGTAGAATACACAAGGTGCAATAGCATTGTATGTCAAAAACTTGACCAGGATGTTTTTTGGGGGGGTTGTAGAGTTGTATGGTTGTTTAAGGTTCCACAAATATGTCATTTTCTTAACCCATCTAGTGACTAAATGAAAACAGACTGTAGGTTTCAAGTATCATGCTAGCTAGTCTTGTGTGTTAGCCTGGGTGAAGTAACACAATGTTAACTGATGACCTGGAATAAAATAAAATAAAGGTTTAAGCACAGGCCATTGTCTCCTCTAGTTCATATTGCTTTTATAATGTTAGAAAAATATCAACAAGTGACTGAATGTTTGAAAATTATACTGTATATGACATCCTTAGCATTATGCCTTAATCAATTGAATTGTTGGATCAGCTTCTCACGTAAGCTTTTATCGACAGGTTAGTGGTAAAAAATATCTTTATGATTCCGGGGGTCAATTACCTTGTGTCAAGCCATGAAAATGTGATTAGCATGATGAGTTTGCCGTTTGTGAAGAGAATAACAACTTTTATTCTATCAAGACATGAGGAGTGCGCATGACAAGGACAGCTGGAGCTAAGCATTGAAAATGGTGAAAAACATCTTCTACTACATTCCCATTAAAGTGAGATGAGAAGATTATGCCTTCGAAAAGTATTCAGAACCCCTTGACTTTTTCCACATTTTGATACGTTACAGCCTTATTCTAAAATGGATTAAATAAAACAATTTCCTCAGCAATCTATACACAATTCCCCATAATGACAAAGCGAAAACAGGTTTTTATACATTTTGCAAATGTATTAAAATAAAAAACCAGAAATACCTTATTTACATAAGTATTCAGACCCTTTGCTATGAGACTCGAAATTGAGCTCATGTGCATCCTGTTTCCATTGATCATCCTTGAGATGTTTCTACAACTTGATTGGAGTCCACCTGTGTTAAATTCAATTGATTGGACATGATTTGGAAAGGCACACACCTGTCTATATAAGGTCCCACAGTTGACAGTGCATGTCAGAGCAAAAACCAAGCCATGAGGTCGAAGGAATTGTCCGTAGAGCTCCGAGACAGGATTGTGTCAAGGCACAGATCTGGGGAAGGGTACCAAAACATTTCTGCAGCATTGAAGGTCCCAAAGAACACAGTGGCCTCCATCATTCTTAAATGGAATTAGTTTGGAACCACCAAGACCCTTAGATTTTAGGAGACGCTCTTATCCAGAGTGACTTACAGGAGCAATTAGGGTTAAGTGCCTTGCTCAAGGTTACATCGACAGATTTTTCACCTAGTCGGCTCGGGGATTAGAACCAGTGACCTTTCGGTTACTGGCACAAAGCTCTTAACCACTAAGCTACCTGCCGCCCCAACTCTTCCTAGAGCTGGCCGCCCCAACTCTTCCTAGAGCTGGCCGCCCTGCCAAACTGAGCAATCTGGGGGAGAAGAGCCATGGCCAGGGAGGTAACCAAGAACCCGATGGTCACTCTGACAAAGCTCTAGAGTTCCTCTGTGGAGATGGGAGAGCCTTCCAGAAGGACAACCATCTCTGCAGCACTCCACCTATTAGGCCTTTATGGTAGAGTGGCCAGACGGAAGCCACTCCTCAGTAAAAGGCACATGACAGCCAAAATGAACCTAAAGACTCTCAGACAATAAGAAACACGATTCTCTGGTCTGATGAAACCAAGATTGAACTCTTTGGCCTGAATGCCAAGTGTCACGTCTGTAGGAAACCTGGCACCATCTCTACGGTGAAGCATGGTGGTGACAGCATCATGCTGTGGGGATGTTTTTCAGCAGCAGGGACTGGGAGACTAGTCAGGATCGAGGCAAAGATGAAGTACAGAGAGATCCTTGATGAAAACCTTCTCCAGAGCGCTCAGGACCTCAGACTGGGGCAAAGGTTCACCTTCCAACAGGACAATGACCCTAAGCACACAGCCAAGACAATGCAGGAGTGGCTTCGGGACAAGTCTCTGAATGTCCTTGAGTGGCCCAGCCAGAGCCCGGACTTGAACCCGATCGAACATCTCTGGAGAGACCTGAAAATAGCTGTGCAGCAATGCTCCCCACCCAACCTGACAGAACTTGAGAGGATCTGCAGAGAAGAATGGGAGAAATGGGTTCATTTCCATACATTTCGAACCTAAAGGATTAATTATTCAAATCAACACAAACATGAAATTATGGCTGATAGTACATTTATTGAAAGTAACGAGCATTACAAACCAGAAACATGAAGATAAGAAAGATATTGTGCATTTCTCGCCCGCTGTTACTTCTATCCAATGGTTGTGTTACTCCCGCCCCGCCGGCAGGTACAAAAGTAACGTTGTGGTAATTCTGTTCTCTGTCTATTTAA